CATGGAGTGAGGTCAGGTGAGTAAGGTGTGTGGGGCAAGAGAGGCATGCTGTTTTTTTTTGCCCAAAACTGGTGCACTGAGATGGCTGCATGAGCAGGTGCATTGTTGTGGTGGCGAGACCAGTCCCTTGTCTGCCACAAATTAGGCCTTTTTGTCCCACACGGTTATGCAATCTTTTAAGAACCTCTAATTAGAAAGCTTGATTAACAGCCTGACCTGGTGGAATGAACTTCAAATGCACTGAGTTGACATTTTCATCTGCTTGGGAAGTTGATGGACACCCATAATGAGGTTTGTTATCAACAGACATTTCACCTTTTAGGAAATGAGTAAAACACTCGAATACTTGTGTTTTTTCATAGTGCTGTTCTTGTAAGCTGTATTCAGCATCACAAGAGTTTCTGCATTTTTCCCCTGCAGGAAACAAAATTTCACAGCTATACACTGTTCTTTTAAATCAGCCATCACAAAAAATGAGGTTTGAGCGAGACTGTTTTTACGAAAAAATTTGCTGTGACCAGAGAGAACCTTCCCATGTGACGCCACTGGGTGCATTAACTCAGAGCGAATTTCCTGATGCTAGCCTAGTGGGAAAAAGGTGTACTACAAAAGCTTCACCCAGCACAGTTCCGTTTTTTGGGGGGTACCCCCTTGTAAACCCAAAAATGTTGCCATAGAATCAATTCCAAATCACAGTGACCTTATAGGATAGAGGAGAAGTTTCTATCCTTGGAGTTTCCAAGGATAAACCATGGAGTTTCCAACTCTGCAAATATTGCATCTTTCTCACTCCAAGTGAAGGGTGGGTTCGAACCACCAGCCTCTCCTTTATCAGCCAAGCACTTAATCCCTGTGCTACTAGGACTCCTACCTGTAATAGGGAGGGAGGTGGATAATTCCTCCTGGGGTGTGTTATGAACAACTCATCCACTGGTATGGATTTGAGTACTTAAAATAGTGGCGCATTCCCTAAGTCTCTTTTTCTTTCCATTTGCTCTTCTATGTCTACGTATTTTCGAGTAGATGTGCCACATCTCCCCCTTTTCTCAATACGAAAGACCTGCCAGGGGAATGTGTGATGTACTGGATTCACGGCAGGAGGAAAAGCAAAATTCATTTGTGGACACACTTGGAAAGGCTGACTTGAGGAAGCAGAATGGAATGATAATCATGAGATTTAGGCAGCTGGAGTTTGAGCTAGTTTGCCTTGGTTCCTCACTGCCTTGTGCCTCTTGTCAGAGCCGTTAATGGGTTTTGAGTTGGCTGTCCTTAGTCTGGTCTGAAGCAGTCAGTCACTGGAAACTGGATTCAGTTTTTTTTTGAAATTATGTTAGACATTGTCCAAAGATAAAAGCAAGGTACAGCGGGGAAGAAAAGTGAGTGTGTCTATAAGCTGTTGTTCTCTTTCAGATAGGAGAAATAAAACAAAATCATTTTTTGTGCGCAGGTAGTTGTGTTCTGATGGAATCCCTGGTGCGTAATAGGCAATGGGACAGTGTTTGGGGTTTGATGTTTCATGTACCAGAATGTCAGTTCAAGGTCTAACCACTTCTCAGAAAGACTTGCAGTTGGACTGTAAACCAAAGGGTGATTCTCATATTCACTCATCCGCTTTCAGCCTTGGGAGAAACACCAGCCACACACTTCTCTTGGCCAAGCTTTCAGATGCCCTACTTTGCTTCTCTAACCCTCCATGGGCAACATTCAGTTCCTGGAAATGATTCCTGCTGGGGTGAGAGGGAGGAGTGAGTCTGGAAGAGGGCAGGGAAGGAGGAAAGGCTTTGGCTGGGTGGGGTTCGGGGGGACATAAGGGAAGCTGAGGGACACGAGCCTCAGTTCTTTGGTAAGGAATTCCCCAAAGAAGGAAAGGTAAATGACAATTATTGAAGGAAAGTCACGATTTCTCGTTTTAAAGATCCAGGAAGTCACGGCTATACTGTCTCTTTAGCTGCCAGACAACTACAGTCTCAGGGCTTCTGGAAGCTCATTTGAGGAGTCTTGGTGGCACAGCTAGTTAAAGGTGGAGCTGCTACACGCACAGTCGGCAGTTCAAATCCCCAAGCTACTCCATGAAAGATGAGGCAACTTGAGCCAGTAAAGATTCATGATCTTGGGAATGCCACGGGACAGTTAGGCTTTGTCCTATAGGGTCTGTAGGCGTCAGAATCGCCCGAGGCAAAGGGTTTCAGAAGCTCATTCACAACTCACGTTTCCCAGGAGATAATTTCTTACCTTGATTCCTCCACTTCCAACCCTACCTCAGGCTTTTCCCTTGTGAAGCTAAGGGAGGAGTACTCCGTGGGTTTTGGCTGTGACCGTCATCCACCATCATGCCTTTGCTTCTAACGCCATCAGATCCCTCTATCCTTGGAATGTATCTCAGGAGTTGTTTTCTCAGATAGCTGGTTTCTTTCAGAGCAAAAGAGTCGCTTTGGAAGAATAAGAGAGGCAAAGTAGAACCATCTGTACTTCCTCTGCCCAGGATTTTCATCCTGACTGACAAATCACAGACTAACCATTTATATGTCACCTTGAAACAGCCGCCCCCCTCACCCCTTCTTTGTTCCGTGGATTTCCAAATTCACTTGTCTCAATGTTACTAATTGAAAAGGTTTTTTCTTGTTTAGGTTACTTCCCCATGCCCACTTCCCTGAGCATACTTTGTACATTGCACGGTCATTTTCAGATCCAAGTTTGCCCAAAATGTATTTGAACGTGGCATAAATATTTAGTAGGTATTTATAAAATGTTATGTTACCCATAGGGAGCTGAGAAATTTTGTTAACCAATATGTTATGATTCATTTTGGGTATCTTTGAAAATCAGGAAAGCGTTTTCAAAACCCCATAACTTAAGGTAAAATGATGATGCTCCTTCCGCCTTTGTTTCTGTTCTTTGGGGCTGAAATATCAACATCTTTACATCAGGGATATGTTGATAAAAGCACGTTTTGCCTCCCTGTCAAGCTGTTGATCATCTTGGTTTATTTTCTCCATGGAAGCAAATGCTTCTGTTTGCACATCAGAAGCCCAGTGACCATTATGTCTCAATCAGGATAGATTGGTACTCTTCTTCCCAGAGGTATTTTACTGACACCGTCCAGCCGTGCCACACCGAATCCTACATTCTCTATGTGAACGCCTCTGGAGACTAGGTCAGATTATGAGTCCCTGATTCATGCAATAGCAAGACAACACAAGGAGGCCAGAGAATGCCTCGAGTCTCTTTTCACTTGCTCCACTTTGGGTTTAAATGGACCACCCCTCAGCATCCCAAACACATCCAAGCTGGTGGGTTTGGGTATGTTTGTCATCCTGCTATCTAGTCCTGATGTCCAAATAGGATGGTTCTTACAGTCTTGAGAACAAAACTGATTAGAAAACATTTGCTTTCATCTGTGTGTGTGTGTGTGCTAACAGTATCGATGCATATTGGGGGAGCAAAGCCGTTTCCCAACATGTCATTGTCACCAGTTGATAGTTACGCTGTTTGCATAGCTGGTCACCCTCTGAAGCCGAGGAATGTGAGACTGCTGTCCACTAAAATGGGCCTGAAGGTCACGTGGGAACCACCCAAAGATGCTGCCAGTAGACCTGTGGAGTATTACAACATTGCCTATGGGAAGTCACTGAAAAGCCTTAGCTACATCAAGGTGAATGCGGAGACATCCTCCTTCCTAATCGGGGATGTGGGTAAGTGATGCCATGACCTTGTTCTCAGCAGGTTGATGTGTCAACCAATATTCCTAGTTCCATTCCTGGGATCACTGTTGGTGGCCTTGCCGTAGAGCACCTGGTGGTCCTCAGGGAACGGCCAGCTAAGTGCAGAGATGCTCCCCATGAATGCCATTGCTTAAAGCCCTCCCCTTAGACCTCTGGTCTTTCTCATCACGCATTTTAACTCTTCAGTAGACCCATTTCTCTCTCCAAACTGACGTTGGAAACTAAGCTTCGTTTCTAAACGGGCTTTTGTCAAAATGTGTTGATCTCTTTTTTAAAATCTCAGTAGAACTTGACTACCAGACAACGTTAGAACTTAATGTTGGGCTTTCTAATTTAGAAAGTTATTAGGGAGTACTCCAGTAACAGGTCCCTGAAAGGAACCTCTGGTTCAAAGGTATAATTCTTCATCCCACTGCTAAATGTGATTCTGAAAGTTGTGAATCTGTAAGTGCTGCCTAAACATCTTGCAGATGTTGTGAGTGAAGACGTAGGTGGTTTTGGACCTAGGTATTAAATTGCATCCTCTGGATCCTTTTTGTTCTGATTCATGTACTTATTTTTTTATCCCATGAGCTTTAAATTCCATTTTTAAGATGTTCTCTTGTGGTCCAAACTTAAGATGGATCATAAGAGGTGACAGAAATCAGTCTATGAAAACTGCTCCCATCTCCAGTTGAACTCTGGCCACCTGCTTTCAATGGGTGGTGGTTAACCAACTTGTAGCTCCTCAACAATTCTCCCCAGATCAGAGGCAATCGTAACCTTCCTTCTCTGCCTCCTGCCTTGTGATGTGGCCTCTCTGCATGACAGAGCTGGACATAGAAACAGGGAGATCAAGAAGACCAGATCCCCCTCCTCACGGTTTCAGTGAAAGGAACTTGGAGATTCACCAGAGACGCTACCAGACCGCAGGTCACATTGCCTTGCTCAGAGAAGAACAACATGTGTGAAGAGAACGGTATAGTGCACTGAAAAACAGAGAGTGTCTCCCAAGCCACGCTCTGATTAGTTAGCTGTACAGGAATCAGAGACACGTGGATTAAATTTCTTTGAACTACAAATAAGTTGAAGATGAACAGAGAAAGTGCCCAGAGGTGCAGGATCCTGCATTTTATCTAAACCCAGAGCATTTCCCAATTAGTCTGGCAGGTCATGCCAAGCCCTAAACACCACCAGCCCCGCCATCGCCAGCCAGAAATCAGACCAGCCTTGAGCACAGCGGGCATCCCAGATGGTGTCATCTGGGTGGCTTTCCTAAGCCCCTGGCTGGAGGAAGGAAGTTCTCTGCAAGGCATGCTCCTCGCTCCGAGGACTGTCACGGCCGTGACTGCCACCGACAGAGCTAACTCTTGCCTCGCCAACCCTTCGTCCCCCCGAAGGCCCACAGACTTTCTTCTCTTCGAGGGATTGACCCCATCCATTTGCCTTTCACAAGAGACTGGTTCCTTTTGAGGAAAACCAACATGAGGCAGTTTTGATTTTTGGGAGCTGCAAGGGTGGGGTGCACCATTTTGTAATATAGGATCTTGGGCTCCTTTTACACTCTGACAACTCTAGTGGCTCAGCCAAGGAGAGCTCCACCATTTGACCTTGACCCCTAGATTTAATTGGAAAGTAAAGTCCAAGTATTTCCAGTTAGCACTTCTAAGATCCAATGAAACATTTTGCCAGCCTTCTGTTGACCTGACCCAAGACACCATGTAGACAGAATAAGACTTTCAAAAGGAGAACATTTTATGAGTCTTTGTAGGTTGAATTCATTAGGTATCGCATTTCATGTGCTACACCTTACAGTTACAGTGACATGTTCTTATTATTTTCTGGCAATTTCCATTTAGCGCTTCCATGGGGAGACAGCACTCATAGTTACTGATGCTTGTCTGTTCAATCATCTATTTAGTGGACAGCACCTTCCCGTTCATTACTTTGGTCTTACATGAAAAAGCTTTCATGTTAACTGCTCGTGACTCCCGATTTATTACCCATCTCATGGACTTCGTACCTAATGAATTTTCTTTTCTTTGGGTCAGGTGTTTTTCAGTTGCATGAGAGGAATGTGAGTGATTTGGGGTGAGAGAGAGGGAAAGCTACAGTTAGATTGGCCCCTGCCTCTTTTAAAGCTTGCTGTCCCTGGTGTTAGGGAATTGAGCAGTGCCGTTCTTGGAGGTATGAAACGGTGGCTTGACACGAACCATATGTTTCAGAGCCGGGGGTAGTGTACTTTGTGCTGGTCACTGCGGAAAATCACAGTGGAGTGAGCCGTCCAGTTTACAGAGCCGAGAGTCCACCTGGTAAGTCTGACGCAGAACTAGAGCCCTTCTTGCTTCGCGAGTTAATATGATTGTCCAATAAGTAACCCCTACACAATACATCTTTAGACTGGTCTCCCCAAACGTTGAAAGATAGAAAGTAGGAGCGATTGACTTCTCCTTTGAAGGACATCTTCATGTCCTTATCAGCCTTTTGTCTAAAAATTTGGAGGACACAAGAGCAAGCCAGGTGCAAAAGACCACACCATTGTCTGTAAAGCTTGGGAGGCCGCTTGCTCTTCCGCTACCGGCAGACTCTTCTGAAGACTTGAAAAGAGAAATCATTGCAATATATACTAGAGATGCGCTGAAATGTGGAAAACCCAAGAGTCCTTGTTTCTAACGATCAAGTTGCATTTTCCTAATTTAGGAGGTGAATGGATCAAGATTGATGATGGGTTTCCCATTAAGGGTCCAGGACCATTTAATGAAACCGCCACAGGTATTCTTTGCTCATTTGGTTCATGTCTTCACTGAAGCACAGTCGGCCAAGAGCGCTGTGCTTCTGTCCCACACGTGTTCTGACAAACCTCTGTGGCGTTCCCATCGCTACACTAACACACATGCCACACAGTCTTGTCAGCTGCCCTGCACCTGCGGCACCAGAACGCAGTCAGTGTTGCTCACCGCTCACTGTTCTTGTGGTGCTCCTCATTCATGGTCTGGTGTCAGGGACCGTCTTGTCTACCTCCCCTTACTTGTACTCTGGAATGCTGTTGCCCTGGTAACAGGCAAATATGGTGGTTGAGATGGCAGCACTGGCCTGATTAGGATAGCTACACTTCCCCCACCCCAGAATGGCCTCCGTGGCTTTTATTGGAAAATCCGTTACCTCAAGTCTTGTCTCTTGTCTGAAAACTTTTAGGTATTTTAGAGGACGCACAAGATAACCTGCCTTCCATCTCTGCTCCATATTTGCGTGTATGTTTTATGTTTGGATGTTGTGTGGTCATGTTGTTTGACTTATTGAGAGAAGTATTGACGTGTGCTCATGTGTTTCTTGAATCGATGTAATTCATAAGGAACAGAATAACGTAAGACGCATGCAGTTGTGTTGGAGTCTGGCTGGGTAATATTGCAAAGAGCTATGTTCTATTTTCATGGACCATATTAAAAAAGAAATAAATCTGGCATGATTGTCAAGAGGAAGGTGAGTATGTGGAAACCAGTGCTATAATCTGCTTTCAGATCAGATTCGATGGGGCTTCAAAGTCCCTTTTCTACAAGGGGGCTTCAAAATGTTCATGAGAATATTCTGAGATCTTTTCATTCTACTTTTCCAAGAACTTTTTGAAGCCCCCTCATATCAAGAGGAGGTGGATGAACAGAACAATAAGAAAAGGAAAGTGGTTTGTAAGAAAAGATGAGATGCTCTTTTTGAGATAAGATGTGAGATATGAGGTGATGTGGGATATGATGTGGGCTAACCACTGGGTGTTATCATGGAAATGAAGGTGGTTGGGATAGAAGGGTGGAAAAGAGGAGTAAGAGATGAGATGTGGATTTAGTAGGCATGTTATGGAAGTGGGAATTGAAGTTGAGCGAGTGGGTGAATATTTGAAGGGAGAGAATTAGAAGAGCAGAAAGTCTTTGGAAAGTGCAGGCAGTAAACAGGTGACAAGGTATTACACCCAGGAGACTTGCAAACAAGGAAAGTATGGCTGGTTTGAATCTTGGTTAGCCCCGAAGATAGACACATATGTCAAAATTCCTTCAATGCGTGTGGATAGACACACAGCACTTTGTATTTGAGGCTCCCAGTTTGCATTTCAGATTACACTTCTACTCTCATAGTCTTCTTGATAAGGGCGTCTGAATGACATGGTTTTGGAACATGTGATGTTCTTGGTTTTTAGGAATCAATGTCTTATACATACTTTAATAAAAACACCAGTGCGTGTTGTGCCACTTTTCTGACTACACTTTTGTCACGGCAACAATGGGAATCAGAGACAATCATACCCACCTCGATATTGGTTTGATGAGTTGTGACTATATGTATGACTTTAACGTCTCTCTGCAGAAGCCTTTGGGGGCCCAGGTGGGCCCACGAGTGCTGTGTTAACCTGCATGACGGTACATTTGCCAGACACTGTGGGGGGAAAAAATGATACCAGGAGAAAATGCTGGCTGAAAAGGTTTGCAGCACAGGTTATAATGCAGACTCTAAAGAGCAAAAGAAAACGCAAGGGACTTAAAAAAGTCTGCGGGAAACTGCCACTGGCTTTGAACTTCATTTCCTCACAAACTTTCTGAAGCCCCCTCATCTATCTAGAACACACACATCAGGTTCAAGTACCCCAGATGAAAGTGAGTCATTTATGAACAATTATCAGTAAGTTAACAACATGCATCTACACCTTTTTAATGAGGCTTGGAAAACAGGCGATGCTATCATCCTGAGAACAAGTTTGTTGCCATTGTTAAGTGCCATTAAGTCGGTTCCAACTCAGCAACCCTATGGACAACGTAACAAAACACCGCCCAGTCCTGCGCCCCCCTCACGATTATTCCTAAGTTTGAGCCCAGTGCTGCAGACTCTGTGTCAATCCATCTCCTTGAGGGCCTTCCTCGTTTGGGCTGCCCCTCCACTTTATTAAGCCTGATGTCCTTCTCCAGGGACTCTTCAGGTATGTGATACTTCTGACACATGGAAGAAATATTCTGAACTCCACAGGTCGACAGTTCAAAAGCACCAGCAGTTCTGTGGGAGAAAGACTGGGCGTTCTATTCCTGTTCGTCCATTTCCATTCCTGTTAGTCTCAGAAACCACGGGGGTCACGATGGGTCAGCACTGATTCAATGGCAGTGAGTGAGTCATTCAAAAGAAGGACTTTGTCACCAACATGCAGTCATCGGTGTGAACACCTGGCACAGGTCCCAAGGGGGCTCTACTTTGGTTCCTTGACAGCATCTTTGACAAGAAGAACATGCTTCTTTTTTTGTTTGTATCAGGGGAAACCCATTTACTTCTTCCCCTGGAAACAGTGACTTCAGCTTGCTTAAATTCTAGACAGCCCCTGCTGCTAGCTCAGACTAGCTCAGTCTCATAGTCTTTACCTACAAATAGCACGCTAGTTCTTTAGCTTATTTGACAAGCACCCTGTACCTGGGATTTTCCAGACAGAGTTCTAGGTGAAGGAGACAGACAAGTATTCTTCTTAGTAATGCTTTCATTCTAGTGAGAATGACAGACAATAGAGAAGTCAACAATAACAGCAAAACAATGCACAACACCTTAAATCATGTGGCATTTATCATGCAGGCATTGTGATGTAGAATAAGCAGTGTGAATTTGGGAGCTTAGGAGGTATGGGTGGGAGAGCTCACGTTGGCGTGAAGGCAGGGGAGAGAGAGGGGAAGCATGCCAGGCAGTGTGGGAGGTGGGCAAGATGGCAGTTCTTGATGGGTGGCTCATCAAAACGTCTACATTTAGAGATCCGAAGCTGATGGGAGTAAGCACAAAGCACAGCTTCTCAGCAGATGTTTGGAGCTCTTCTCGGAGCAGTTCAACTTATAGCGCTTACAACGTTTTCTTTTCTTTGTATTGAATGTTCAGTCCCTCCTGCTGAGATGTAAGCCCACCTCCCCATTCTCGGTCCCCAGGGAGAGATGTCACAACTCCATCCACATTTTGATACTGTCATTTGGCTTCTCTGCAGGCTTTCTGGGCACAAGTTGTTTCTGTCTTTTCTGGGACTCAGTCTCGGGTGATATGGGAGTGGATGGAGGCAGGACACTCCTTCAAATTGTTGCCAAACAATGCAGAGACTCAGCTGGGCCAGGTTCTCTACTTTCTCCAAGTTTCCTGTGGTAGTTACATGATCTGTTGTCAATTTGAGACTAGAAAGGGTGGAATTTAGCCTGTCAGTCAGGTTCCAGTTTGATGACCTCATTTGGAGGTCCTAAGGAGATAAATAGCTCGCTGGAGTTGGGACAGAGACACTCCCTGTGAGACATTCCTGTTGACACGACCCATGGAGCTAGCTACACTGATGCAGCCAGAGCCCTGGAGCAGGAGGAGCCACGTGGAGATCCACGCCAGTGCTAAGATGAGTTGTTTTCACCACCACCAAGTCACAAGACTTTCTACCTACTGGCCTGTAATCTTCTTGCATTCAGTGTCACTGCATGTGTTGCATGAGTCTGAAGAGAAATTTATAGGCTGGTATCAGACATATAGATTAATATAGAACTTATGGACCTGAACTGGACTGGGCTGGAATGCTTTCTTAATATACAATTACTCTTTTATATAAAACTCTTTCTTATGCAAATATGAATGTCTCTTGATTTGTTTATCTACTCTACCTGGACTAACACATTTCCCATGTGGTAAACGAGTGTTCAATCTTGGTTAATGTCAGCTCTGTGATGGATCACATCTATATTATACTAATAATGGATCCATTCAACCATCATCATTTACACAATTCCCGCCTGGGCTCCTGGCTCAGACTCAGATCAAAAGTGACCATCTTCTCTGCCCGTCAGATGTCTTGCCTGTAAAATGCTGGTGCCCAACAAGAAGTCTTCTAAAATTTCCTTTGGCTTAGAAGTTTTGTGAGTCTATGGCTCCAAGGGAATTGATGAGCGATGCTGAACAACTGGAAAGGACGTGTATCATTGAAAACTGGTTTTATGAACCTATTGACCCACCCGATGTTGGATGTTCAAGGCCAACAAGTTAAGATATCAAAGTCTCACTCACGGCCATTAAGTCAATTCTGACTCATCGCAACCCCATAGGACAGGGTAATGCTGCCCCTGTGGGTTTCCGAGACTGTAACTCTTTACGGAAGTAGAAAGCCTCATCTTCCTCCCCCAGAGTGGCTGGTAGTTTTGAACTGCTGACCTTGTGGTTAGCAGCCTGACGTGTAACCACTACACCACCAGGGCTTCTCCCAGGTATCGGATGAATGAAGGAAAAACAGCATCAAATTGTACCTTCGGTGTGTGGCCCATGTGTCTGCACACACACTAGGTACACAGAATAAGGAATTCTTTCCAATAATAAATGGGGAGGTGCATTGCACAGTGGCCTTTTTTCTGTGCACTGGGCCCCTTTGTTGACTTGTACTGGCATGAGTTCTGCCAAAGGAGCCAGTGCAGAGGGTGTCTTGGTTTATTTAAACTGAAGTGTGTCAGCGTCACTTCGGCCAAAGGTGCCAGCAGAATGACCCAATTGGTGAATCCATCAATAGCATGGCTGCTTCTGGGACTTCACCAAGCAAGCCTGGAGCCAAGGCCATGGACTCCTGGAACCTTGTGCTTCAACCTATTTCACCTACATTTTTAATGACTTGAATATGAATCAAAGACTATCATCTCTGTTAGTAGACCCTTTCCCTAGAGCAACTTGAGGTTGATATAAAAATTGTGCAGGTAATAGTGACTTTCCATAAGTCTATCCCCTCTCCTCCTTGTGCACAAGAACCAAAACACCAGACTCATTGCCATCGAGTTGATGCTGACTCATAACAACCCTGTAGGACAGGGTAACTACCCCTGTGAGTTTCTGAGACTATGGTTCTTTTTTCATATATTCCTGTATTAATGACTGCTAATTCAAACATATATCATATATTCCATAGTTCAATCATGTCCAGCAGAATTGTACATTTGCTACCACAATCAGTTTCCAAACATTCTTTTTCTACACGGACTCCTTGACCTCATCTCCCCTTCTCCCTGTCAATACCACTGTAACGCCCTCCCCCGAGACTTATTTTACTTGCTATCTCTTTAGATTCATCAATCCTGGATTTCATACATCGAAGAACAAAAAACATGTAACACAACTTCAAGAGGGTGACCCCTGATGACCTGACACCTCTGGGATACACCCTGATAGGTACCAAAAAAAAACTCCCAACCAAACAATACCAACCAAAAATACAGATAATTTTCGAAAACAAATCAGGTCCAGCATGCATCCCAGTGGGGATCTGCTGACAAAGTCTTACCTGCTCATGCCAAATCCATGCCGTTGGTCTCTGCTGCACTCTGTTTAGTAACACTTTCCTCCTCTCCCTCAACTGCTCCTTTAACACTCTCGGAAAGCCTAAAGGGCAGTTCTGCTCCATCCTGCAGGCTGGCTATGACCCAGAATCGCCTCAGTGGCAGTGGGTGGGTTCATGTGGCCATCACAGGTCCGTTGAGTTTGCCTTCACGGCCTGTAAGAACCCAGAGTAGTATACGAAAACCTGACGCCGCAGAGCAGACCAACATCTTGGGGACCAGTTACCTATTTCTGACCGTATGTTCATGGAAGCTTTCCCTAAACATCTAAGAGAAAAAGGAGGGAAGAGAGCTGGGGTGCCTCCGTAGGGCTCATGGCTTCTTATAGAGGTTCCACAAAATTCCACTACTAGCACTGAAAGAAAGTGCTTTCTCTTTTAAGTCACCAAACTGCTCATATGGGGTCGCTGGAGCTCTCCTTTGTAAATGTTACAGAACTTTTACTTGTAAGTGGATGACAGCAAAGCTAAAAATGTCAAAGCAAAGTAACCAAGCGCCTTTCAACAAAAGAAGCTATTTTATTATCAGAAAACCACGGCAAGTTACTTACCCTTCCAGTCCCGAAAGAAACAAAGCAGACGAACTTTAGCGACGAAAACACACAAGCCCACACTAATGAAACATTCATGAACACAACTAGAATTCGCTTTTTAAAAATGAAGATACCCACCTACCCCCAGCTTTCTAAATTAAGACATAACTCCCAGTAATGCTAAACAATCCCTCTTCTTAGCTTCCGCCATCTGTAAGGCGTGTCTGTGTTATACTTGGGCCTGGGTGGAGTGGAGCACAGACGCGTCAAGGGTCTTCATCTCAGGAGATCAGAAAAGACTTGCACACACTCAGGAGGTGTAGCTGGAGGGAAAGCACCACGTGGTAGAGCTAGAGAACTTTCTTTTCAAATGCTTTTATTCTAACACTTTTGTTTTGTGACTTGATCGAAGGTCTGCAGAGCAAATAAGTTATCCATTCAACGGTTTATACACCTGTTGTTTCACATCATTGGTTGCAATCCCCACAGTGTAACCCCACTTCCTCTCTGTGTTTCCCCTTACACTTCCTCCTCTTTTCCCGACCCGTCTGAACACTGTTCTTGGCAAATGCTGCCCTTGTGATCTCGAAGGGTTGATTATGCTCGGGCGTGTCACTGTTGCCTATATGGAGACCTGGCTATTTGGCTGAAAATTGAGCTTCTACTAGCATGATGTTCTTCTCCCGGGGCTGGTCCTTCTTGATACTATGGTCAAAGCATGTGAAATGAAGTTTTGTTTCTAAGGGGGTGTTGTGGATGTACTTCTCCCAAGATGCATTTGTTCATGCTTCTAGCATTCCATGCTACAGTCAGTGTTTTTTGCCAACACCGTAATGCAAAGGGGTTGATTCTGCTTTACGCTTCTTTATTCATTGTCCAACTTTCACATGCATTGAAAAGGGATTGAAAACGCCATGGCTTGGGTCAGGTACCCCTTAGTCCTCGGAGTGCTAGCTTGGTTTTGTTTTAACATGTTAAAGAGACTCTTTGTTTCAGATTTTCCCAGCTTAATATGTCCTTAGATTTCTTGAGGGCTGCTTCCAGGGGCATTGCTTGTGGATCCAAGGGAAATGAAACCCTTGACAACTTCAGTGTTCTCTCTGCTGATCATGGTAAAGCAAAGCCAAACCCACTGCCGCGGGGTCAGTTCAACGGCTCCAAGGCAGCATCCACTCCATGAGACAAGGATGACGTTCTCTACCCCTGAAGCCCACAGGCCGCATTCTCCTTGGGCTGTGGGGTTGCTGTAGGGTTGCTGTGAGTTAGAATCAACTTGATGGTAGTGAGTTTGGCTTTTCGGTTTTACATTTAGATGTCATCCGCACTGGACTTTATCAGTAAATGCTTCAAGTCCTCTTCATTTTCAGCCAGCCAGGTTTTTCCATCTACAGATCACATGTTGTTAGTGAGCCTTCTTCCAAAGCTGCTGCCGCATCACCCCCTCTTATTTTTCATTTTATAAATTGTGTTTATTGTGAATGGGTTTGGCTTTATGGCAGGCCCGACCCCATGGGCCTCTCCTAGTGTCCCCTGGCAGAGCAAATTCTAACTCTGAAACATTGCCTGGCTTTGACCCTTGGGCTTCCGACACAGATGTGGGTTGCACAGTGAAACACACAAACAAATAAATATTCTGTTTATTGCATGTTTTGTTTAGCACCCAGTGTCCTAAGCATTACAACAGTCTATTTACCAGTGAAACAAGCTTAGTAGTAATAGTCCAACTTCTTGGATTATTTGCTCAACATACAGATTGAATAAGTGTGGTGAAAAGACACAACCCCAACACCCCCTTTTTTTTTTCACATTTTTAATCAATTTATTGGGGCTCATACAATTTATCACAATACATAGATCAATTGTGTAAAGCACATCTATACATTTGT